TGATTTGGAACTAAAGGAAATGGTATTAAGCAAAAAAAAAAAAATATATATATATATATTAGTGTTTTGGTTGAAATGCTCTTTCTCCTTGGCTCACACAGTTTTGCCTAAGGCTCATGGGGCACCAAAGGATAAATTAATCTGGAAAAAAAAATCAAAGGCTTTTAACATTAAACGGGCTTTTCATGTTCATAAGCCATCTGTGCTGTGACTTCAACCGGCACAGTCCTAATGCTGCCACACCAACTCTCCTTGCTCAAGAAGTGCACAGGTGCCATCCTGAGTCCAGGGACAGCACCTGATCTGGCTGATTTCCTTGCGGGAGGTGTCAGTGATGGTTCTCTGTTGTCCTCCAGCTCAGCCAAGCAGAAACATAAGTCAGGAGCAGGAAAATCCCAGGTCCACCACATCTGAAGTCCTTTCTCTCATAAGCAGTGGGTCTGATTTCACAGGTACCTTCTCTATTACCTGCCTGGGTCTGACGTAGAGTGGCCATGTTTATGCTGAGAATATTCTTCCATTGGGCAAAGCTTCAGTAGCTTGGAAATTCAAATATAGATTCTCAAAAGTATGTGCTTGATAATTCAGCAGAAATTGAAAGAACTGTAATGTGCAAGGGACACATAGTCTCTGCCCTCTTGGGATGTATGTTGCAGTAGGAGAGACAGACTAACAGTTCAGAGACAGTGTGACAAATGCCACTGTAAGACAAGTTCAAGGAGGGGGGAGGAGCTAATCCATGCTGGGTGGTGGGGGAGGGATACTCAAGGAGGCTTCACAGAGAAAGTAACATCTCTCCTGGGGCCTGAAGGTGAAACCAGAATTCTCTTAAGTGGTGGGGTTGGGGCCCAGGTAGGGTACCAGAGAGAAGGAGCAGCGAGCTCAAAGGCCTGGGAGAAGTCAAGTAGGACTGGCATATAGAATGTGAGTGATCAAGCTGGAGAGATTGGCAGGATTCCTGGTGCCTTCTGAATCGCATTCTCCCCTTCATCTATAGTCACAGGACCACCAAGTTTCAGAGAGGCATGCGACTGCCCAGAATAAAGACTACATTTCCCAGCCTCCCTTGCAACTGGATGTGGTCCATGTCCAAGTTCTGGCTAGTGAGAAGAAAACAGCAGTTATGTGTATATTCTCAGGGCTGTGTCCTTAAAGGGCGTGTCATTCCTCCTTGTCTTTTCCGCTTCCTGCTGACCGGAATGTGGATGAGGTCAGGAGTCTCTGGGAATGGCCCCACCCAAGACAGGAGCTGGGTCCTGATACTGAAGGCATCTTACAGTCATGGACTGCTCATATTCAGATGTGGTTCTGTGAGAGAGAAATAAACTTCTGCCTTATTTAAGTTACTGGTAATTTGGATCTCTGTTATAGCAGCTAGATCTCTGTCCTAAATAATTCAGCTGGGGCCAGATGTTTTTTCCTTCCATTTGAATAGTGTGCTTGTTGAGTGCCCACTCTGTGAAGGCATTGTGTGAGGGGCTGGGGTACAGTGGTGACTGCGCTGGACAGAGTGCCTCTGGTGAGGCTCTCTAAGCAAAAAAATAATGGTGATGAAGAAGAAGATGATGATTAGAGTAGCCAGCGTTTATCAAGAGTTTTCTCTGTGCCGGAAAAGAACTTTACACATGATTTCAGGTAATCCTCACAATGGCCTTATGACTTAACTGCTATTATTTGCTCTGATTTATAAATGAAGAACGAAGAAGTTAAGTAACTTATCCAAAGCCCCAAGGCTGTTCTCTATTTTGAGAGCAGTTGCAAGTAGGGTGGAGTTGAAGCATCTGTGGGTGATATAGTTTGGCTCTGTATCCCCACCCAAAGCTCACCTCCAATTGTAATCCCCAGGTATGGAGGAGGGGCCTGGAGGGAAGTGATAGGATCATGGGGTTGGTTTCCTCCATGCTGTTCTCATGATAAGATCTCTGTTCTCACGAGATCTGATGGCTTTAAAAATGGCAGTGTTCCCTGCTCTCACTCTCTCTTCCCTGCCACCATGTGAAGACATACCTTGCTTCACCTTTGCCTTCAGCAGTGATTGTAAGTTTCCCGAGGCCTGCCTAGGCATGCGGAACTGTGAGTCAATTAAACCTCTTTTGTTTATCAATTATCCAGTCTCAGGTGGTAGTCTTTATAGCTGTGTGAAAACTGACTAGTGATCAAAGGTGTATTGTAAAGTTGTCAGGTTAGTGCCGGGACTAGGTTTTATCTGAACCCTTGAACCCTCAAGTCACCACTGTCCCCTATTTGTGGCTGACTTCTTAGCTCTATGATGGACCATACAGTCTGATCTCTACACAGCTGGTTCTAATAACACCCTGACACTAATTGCCAACTCCAAGCATAACCTCAGCCAGAACCACTAGAAACATTTTCTTTATTTTTTAATGCTTGATTTTAAAATAATTTCAGACTTACAAAAAGTTGTGATAGTAAAAAGAATTCTCATATACCTTTCAACCAAGATCCTCCAAATTTAACATTTCATACAACCACAGTAAAACTATAAAATAAAAAAAAATTGATGTAATACTATTGTATAATCTGGAGATCTTATTCACATGTCTCCAATTGTCCCTCTAATATCCTTTTTCTGGTTCAGGTTTCAATTCAGGATAACATGTCACATTTATTTGCTATGTCTCCTTAGTTTCTTTTAATATGTGACAGCCTGCTCCTCAGTCTTTGCCTTTCATGACCTTGACACTTTTGGGAGTACTGGTCAGTTATTTTGTGGAATATCCCTTAATTAGGGTTTGTCTAATGCTTCATAATTATTAAATTCGGTTATGCATTTTGACAAGAACATCACAGAAGTGATGTTGTGTCCTTCTTTGTGCAACATATGAGGAGGCACATGAGACTGATTTATTCTATAACTGGCAATATGAACTCTGATAATTTGGTTAAGGTAGTGTCTCACAGGGTTCTCCACTGGAAAGTTACTATTTTCCCCTTTGTAATTAAATAGATATTTTATGGGGAGATACTTTGAGACCATGTAAATATCTTGTTTTTCATACTTGTGCCTGTTAGTTTTAGCATCCACTGATACTTCCTGCCTGGAATAATTATTACTGTGATATTTGTCAAATGATAATTTTCTATTTCCATCATTCCTTCTACACTTATTAATTAAAATTCTACTGCAAGGAATAGTTTTCCTTTCTCTCTCATTTGTTTATTCAATTATTTATATAAGTATGGATTAATGTATTTTATTTTATTCTATCCTATCTAATATAATCACCAATTGCTATGATTAGTTCTTTTATTGTTGAAATTGTCCTGAGAGACAGGACTATCTGGATTTCCTGGGCTGACTGAGAATTCCTAAGCCTAGCTGGGGAAGGTGACTGCACCCACCTTTAAACATGGGACTTGTAATTCAGCTCACAGCCGACCAATCAGGTAGTAAAGAGGGCTCACTAAAATACCAATTAAGCTAAAAACAGGAGGTAAAGAAACAGTCAAATCATCTATCACCTGAGAGCACAGGGGGAGGGACAATGATTGGGATATAAACCCAAGGCATTCAAGCCGGCAGTGGCAACCCGCTTTGGGTCCCCTCCCATTGTACGACAGCTCTGTTTTCACTCTATTAAATCTTTTTTTTTTTTTTTTTTTTTTTTTTTTGAGACAGAGTCTCGCTGGTTGGCCCAGGCTGGAGTGCAGTGGCGCTATCTCTGCTCACTGCAAGCTCCGCCTCCCAGGTTCACGCCATTCTCCTGCCTCAGCCTCCCGAGTAGCTGGGACTACAGGCACCCACCACCGCGCTCCACTAATTTTTTTTGTATTTTTAGTAGAGGCGGGGTTTCACTGTGTTAGCCAGGATGGTCTCGATCTCCCGACCTCGTGATCCGCCCACCTCGGTCTCCCAAAGTGCTGGGGTTACAGGCGTGAGCCACCGCGCCTGGCCCACTCTATTACATCTTGCAACTGCACACTCTTCTGGTCTGTGTTTGTTCTGGCTGGAGCTGAGCTTTTGCTTGCCATCCACCACTGTTGAACTCAGCTGTCGAAGACCCGCCACTGACTTCCACCCCTCCGGATCCAGTAGGGTGTGCGCTGTGCTTCTGATCCAGTGAGGTGCCCATTGCCTCTCCGGATTGGGCTAGAGGCTCGCCATTGTTCCTGCGTGGCTAAGTGCCTGGGTTGAGGCTCGCCAGTGTTGCTGGGTGGCTAAGTGCCTGGGTTCGTTCTAATCGAGCTGAACACTAATCGCTGGGTTCCACGGTTCTCTTCCGTAACCCACGGCTTCTAATAGAGCTATAACACTCACCGCATGGCCCAAGATTCCATTCCTTGGAATCTGTGAGGCCAAGAACCCCAGGTCAGAGAACAAATGGCTTGCCCCCATGTTGGGAGCTCTGAGAACAAAGACCCACCCTTTAACAGTCCCAGATTTGGCTAGTTGGTTCCTGTGCATTTTGACATACCTCATCATTTTTTCAAGCATTTATTTTTAGAAGCATAATATGGTCCAAGGTTATCTTTTCCTTTCCTTTCTTTGTTTTAGAATCAGCCATTATTCCAAGGAGCTAAATTCCTTTTTATTGGAGAATGGTATTTAGAAATTAACATCTGGATGCTGTGTCTGGTCATTCAACTAGAACAATTATCTCAATACAAGAGAGTTTTGTTAAGGTGTTGCCTTACATTTTTCATTTTCATTCTTTTACATTTTTCATTTTTTCTTCTGTTATCTCTTTGTTATCAACTTATTTTTATGGCCTGTAAAGTATCAAGGCATAAACTACTATTCTAATAGAAATTTCAGTGTGTGTGTGTATATATATATATATATATATATATATATATATATATATATATTTTTTTTTTTTACTTACTGTGTTTTAGCAAACATTTATTGAATATTTACTGTTCTAACAATTCATCTATTTACTTGTGAGTACCAACATTTATTGCTGCCACAGCTGAAAAGAGAACAGATTATGGATAATATAACTCTGATTATATACTTGTATGTTTTGGGGTGAATGTATCTATTCAGTTCCTTATCAACTGGTTATCTTAGTCCATTTTCTTAAGCCACTGGTCAGTTTAGTGGAGCAAAAATCAGCTTGGCTAGTTGATTGGCATTGTTAGATCTTAATTATACTTTTTCATTTTTTAAACCATTGTGCTGTTGTGTCCATACAACTTTAGTTAAAGATTCAATTTCCCAGTTGGTAATACATCTACCAAGATGGTTGAATCATATCAAATCTCAGCAGAGCTGATATGCTGGAACACCCATTTCTGTGAGGGATATCATAGAGTTATATGCATAGTCAACAGGTAATTTATGAACTCTAAGGCCAAATCTTCCAGTGCAAAAGCTAATATGTTCCATTTTGGTGAAGGATGTCTCTATTTCATTTTCTATGGATTCCTCATCAAAATCACCCTATACATCAAACAGGAGTGCAGTGAGAAACCCTTGGAACAGGATTCAATCATGTTGATTTAGTCAACAACTTCCCCAGGGCTAATGCAGTTAGAGTAATCATATAAATCAAAACACCTAATTCTTCTTATATAGAATGTCAAAGACTTTTCTACATTGTGTTCAATGTAGTTGGTGCAAATGATAAAGAAGGCAAAATGCAAGATTTCAAGAGAGATGTTAGGAGGAATTCTAAATATTTTCATAACAATGCATTTTCTTTGGCGTTGCTGTTGCCTCCAGCTAGTTCCTCAAAAGGTGAGCAGTTTCTGAAGTGATCAAACTTGGGTTGTTATAATAAAAGTAGTTACCGTTCAAGAGATACATCTGAATTGGATGTATACCAGACTTTACAATGACACTGTCCTTCCAAAGGGAAGGACGTCTACAACAGGCTTGGAAAAGACAAACAGATATCTCTATTACTTCTTGTGCATTTTGAATGACTCTTTCAATAGAACCATGCTTCTTATGTAGTTCTGTCCTTACAATTGAAAAAAATAAGACTCATTCAAGTCTTCCTCTCTAGGCGCTCAAGACACAGCATGGTATCATTTGGAAGCCAGTTGGGAGCATCATGTCTTCACCCAAGCCCCTGATATAGAAGTCAACTTCCCTCATCCCACGGAGACTCATCTTATTGGCTCCTGCTGCCCAAACTGGTAGTCCTCAGCTCCAATTTCCCTTTGTAGATTAAGGTACTGTTGCCAGCATAAGAGGTATGGGGCAGGGGAAAGCTTGTGACTGACCCAGATCAGCCTACTTGGCAACAGAGTGTATGATTCCTCAGTATTTCTTAAAAACAAACAACCTGATGTTTGCCAAACACCTTCTCAGAACTCCTTACTGCCCTCCTCCCCATGTATGCTTCTACTTTGATTCTATGTGTGGTTGCTGCTTGTAATTGTCCTGGAGAATTCAAAAGGGTGTTTTTGATTAGTTCTTGCACCTAGAAAACCAACACTTATATTTTCCTCCTGTCTTGGGATTCTGTGCCCATATGATCCCCTAGCAGGACGTCCATTTCTTCAGTAAGGTGGCCATTTTCTGTAGGAGAAACATGCCCACGTTCTGCCCTGAAGTACTAGACTATCTGTTGGAGAAGTGCTGCCATGAGAAGATCTGATGTGCCATGGACCTACTTTCGTGGTGAAGGAAAGGAACATGGCACAGGCTCATCTCAGGGCCTTTGCACTTGCAGTGCCCTCTGCCTAGAATGCTTTTTACTGAGATCTCTGCATGGCTGTTTCTGTTTTGCCACATGTCTCAACTTAAACATCCTCTCCTCTGAGACCCTTCTCTGACTACATGGGTACTCTCTTTTCCAACCCCCATTTTATTTTCTTCGCTGTACTTACCATTGTCTGATTTTTTTTGGCTCATTTGTTTACTGGACACATGTGGCTAGAATGGGAGCCCCTTCAGAGCAGGGACTTTGCCCGTTTTGGTCACTAGCATTCCCAGGGTCAGTATAGGAACAACAAATCTGTTTTAGAAGAAGTCTGCAATGCCTGTGCCAATTAACATCAACTTCACCTAGAAGAAACAAGTCTAGGCTGGGTGAGGTGGCTCACGCCTATAATCCCAACACTTGGGGAGGACAAAAGGGGAGAACTGCTTGAGGCCAGGAGTTTGAGACCAACCTGGGCAACATAGTGAGACCCCCTTGCCCCCTCTCCCAAAAAATTAGCCAGGCATGGTGGCGTGTGCCTGGAGGTGTGTGCCTGTGGTCCCAGTTACCCTGGAGGCTGAGGTGAGGGGATTGCTGAAGCCCGGCGGGTGGAGGCTGCAGTGAGCCATGCTAGTACCACTTCACTCCAGCCTGGGTTACACAGCGAGACCTTGTCTCAAAAAACAAACAAACAAAAAAGCCCTAGGTGCTTCTTTATTGGCACGCCAATGGTTTCATACATGTCTCCAAATTGTAAATCTGCACAATCCCATAGCTGTTTGTCTTCTGGAATCTCATTATCATGATCACCTTCTCTAGAGGTTAGAAAAGTTGGATTTTGGTGGCAAGTGAAGAGTCATTTGCCTCTTGTAAGTAATTCCATAATGCAGGAGTTCGGATAGGGTTTGCCTTACTATGAAATTCCAGGGCTGGCTGCTGCTTCTGAGGGGACAAGGGGAGTCTGTGCTACTCGGCTGCCTCATCATGCAAGCTGGACTGAGGCCTGCCATCTGACATCTCTCTCTCCCCACCCGAATTAATATCATGAAAGGGCCATGTTTATGCAAAAGCACATGCCGAGAGGCCTTTTGCTCCTAATTTAAACTATTAAAATGCCATTAAGAATTGCACAGCACTGTTTTCCTTCATTATTTCTTGTTGAAGAACAACCATGTGGAAAGGAATGCATTTGGTTTCCATGCAAGTGGGGCTCGTTTTTCAGGACGGTTTACAGTACCTACCGGTAGAATTTATAGTCCGCAGTTCAACCCCCCTACCCAGAGATGGAGTTAGCAGATACAATTTCTGACAGCAAAAATAAGTACAATCAATACAAATATACCAAGGCATTTATTTTAGACATTTGGCTGAATAAATCATTGTGGCCACCATGCCGAAGATTTCAACCACCTTCATTTCAACCATGGAGCGTTTTGGAGCCTGTGATATTTCTATTCTATTTGCTTGTTCCTTTTCAATAAAGCATCAGCATTTACTGTACCATGGCAAGTACCTCATCAGAGGTTACATCTGCTGCCCAGATACAAGGCTGGTTATCCAAAGACTCGTTCATATGTCATGGGAAACTTTTCATGAACATAGAGTCTACCCACAAGGCTTGTTATTTTTGAAATTTTGGTCCAATTTACATTTTTTGGAGATTAAAACACACACAGTTTGATCTCAGCTTTGACCTTTTAAATTGCTACAAGTTAATCTTTGACTAAAAGCATGGAGAGCGGGAATAATTATATTTTGTGAAAGAAGCAGGTTATGTGCACAGAGGGTGACCGCAGTTATGGTAATGTGTCTCTTAGACAATGTTTTGATGCTAGAAATGGCATACACAAAGAAAAACAGTATTTTCATGCATTTTCACTGAAAAACTGTATTTAGATTCTGGATGGCTGCTTTGCAAACAAGCTGCTTCTGGGTGTTTTCCTTGGCCTGGCCTTCCTCCGTGAGTGATGGTGTTCCTCGGCAAACACTGCCCACGGCTGCTGTGGCGGGGCGCAAAGATGCGTCCCAGCTCCCGCGCTCTGCATGATTCATTGAGGGAGCCCGTGTGGTTCGTTAGGTCTGAAGTCAGAGTCCCTTTAGGCAATGTCTTGCTGACCTTTGAAGAAAGAGCAATTTTTGGCTTCTCTGCCCTGTTAACTCTCCACAGCTGGGCGGAAGTTACTCCTCTGGGACTCTCCAGCTGGAAGGGACAGAAATAACGGCTGAGCTTGCTCAGTGCCACCACTGTGCTCAAGGCCTTGTTTCCATCAGCTCCTCAGGCCCTGATGCCCACCCCTGAGGCATGACCAGTTACCCCCATTTTATTGGTAGAGGAACTGAAGGTATTCACCTGGTAGGTGGCAGAGGTGGGAGTTGGTCCCAGGTCTGTCTGACCCAGAGCAGGTTCTGCCATTGTGACAGGCAACCTGTCATCTAAGGGACCCAGAATGTCCTTTAATCCCACCATCTGTTTGATTGAGGAAATGAGCAGAAATTCTAGAAATCTCTAAGTCTCTTATGTCCAGGGAAATAAATTCTACAAAGAGTCTGATGTTTTCTCTCTGGGGATAAGAACCACCAAGGTATCACCCAATGAAATCTCATGAGTTGTGACTGTGAAGTAAATCAGCTGTTTTTTTAAACACATGTTGCTGTGGCGTCCCCCAAAGTCACACCTGAGCTGATGGGCTTATTCCAATGGTGCTGCCAATGCCCACCACGTGTTTCCTCTTATTCCTTCATGTCCTGTGCTGGACCATGGAGCTTCTCTTAGAAATGGAGGAAAGAGCACAGTCATAAGATGATGGCTCAAACATGGGCTCCACAGATGACTAAACAAATGACCTCAGGCAATTTACTTAAACTCTGAGTCGTCACTTCCTCTAAATTGGAGATAATTATACTCTTGTCATCGTCTCCAATGATGGCCCAGTCTTAATCCTTTGAGGGTGGGTTTGATGTTTTGGAAGAGAGTTAAAAACCCTTTGCAGAAAAGAGCTGTCGAATGAGGTGAGAGGTCTGCCTGTGAGAAGTTGGGCTGATAAGATGTGACTACCGAGTCATGATGTTCCTTTCCTCTTGAGATTTGCGAAGTGACTCTGTAATCCCAGTACTTGGGGAGGCTGAGGTGGAAGGATTGCTTGAGGCCAGGAGTTTGAGAGCAGCCTGGGCAACATAGCGAGACCTAATCTCTACAAAAAAATTAAAAAGTTAACTAGGCATGGTGGTGTGTGCCTGTAGTTCCAGCTACTTGGGAGGCTGAGGTGGGAGGTTTGTTTGACCCTGAGAGGTTGGGACTGCAGTGAGCCCTGTTTGCACCACTGCACTCCAGCCTGTGTGACACAGTGGGACCCTCTCTCTAAACAAACAAACAAGGCCAGGCACAGTGGCTCATGCCTGTAATCCCAGCACTTTGGGAGGCAGAGGTGGGTGGATCACTTCGAGGTCAGGAATTCAAGACCAGCTTGGCCAACATGGTGAAACCCTGTCTCTCCTGAAAATGCAAAAATTAGCCAGGTGTGGTGGCAGGCTCCTGTAATCCCAGCTACTCAGGAGGCTGAGGATCTTTATTTTCTTTAAGACCATGGTTGAGAGTTTATTGCCTCTTAAGTTTTCTTTTCTTTATGAGGACCTCAGCACTGGATAGGTACTTAATTTATCTACAATATGGTGAAACTTGGTGAATGGGAACACTGACTCCCACTTACTCCTTGTGGTACAACCTTAGTTCACTGAAATTCTTGATACTTTTTCTCATTTCAAAAATGGGAAAAATGTTTCCATCCTTACAGGGTAAAGGATTAAAAATAATTCATGAAAAGCATTCTGCACACTGCTGGCATGAAGTAGGTACTCAATAAACAGTAATTAATGGGACCTGTCAAAATTACATCTGTTGTCATTGAAATTCCTGAGCAAAAAAAGTAACCATTTTTCATAGTTGGTTTTAAAATGTATGTTATTTCCAACCAACTATAACTTTTGCAAGAAATTAAGGACTTTAATGCATTTCAAAATAAACCTTTATCAGTGCCTGTTTTGTGCCCAGTTAATGAAGCATTGAAGGAGATCTGAGGTCAGGACAAGTGGTAGGAAAGTGAGGTCAGAGAAAGGAGAAAAAGATTAGTAGGTAAACGTAACTGCAGAATTGGAGAACTATAAAAAGTTCCTATGTTAATGTGTCAGGAAGAGTAGACTGCTACAATCCAACCCATTGTGTTGTGGAAACTTCCACAATGTGGATGCAGAATAACATAATGGCTAACATCACAGCTCTGGAGCCATGTCTGAATTTGAACCCCAGCTCTGTGATTTACTGTGCAATCTTAACCTCTTTAAGCCTCAATGTTTTCATCTGAAAAACAGGGTGACAGCATTTGACTTACATGATTGCTGTAAGGTTTAAATGAATTAAAATGGTCAAAGCATTTTGAATCATGCCTAGTAATAACTCAACAAATGTTTGCTTAAAAAATCATTGAACTGACATTCATTTAGCATCTTCTGTATGCCAGGCACTGCTCTGGGCACAGGAGAGTACTGGCAGAGCACCTGCTGTCATCGAGCTTTTAGACACATAAGAAATACATGTATAGCAGCTCCATGAAGGAAAATAAAGGAGGACAAGGAAGCATTGAATGTGTTAGGGAAGGTGGCCAGGGATGGCCTTCTGAGAAAGTGACATTTAACTTGATGTATGATAAATGCTGGGTGATCTTAGAGCCTATATCAACAGTTGGAGGTTGAGAAAGACTAATAGCATTTCAGACCTGTGACACAGTCCTGTGGCCAGGAACTCCAAGGATTATTATGTTGTTCCATAATCATTCCTGTGAATGGAACTGGAAATTGGGTAATTATGGGAGCAAATAATCACAAGTGGTAGGCTGTGGGTAGCTGAGGAGAAAACTTAAATTAGCTGCACATCCCATATTTTAAGGAGTGTTATTTGCCTGTTCTCTGTACCAAATAATTCCAACTCTGCTTAGATCCATTTTATAGATTTGAAAAACTGAACTCCTGACAAATCTAACCCACATACAAATGTATGAGCGTTACACATTTGTGTAATACATTAACATAAAGTGCCCATGTTCTTCACACCGCTGTCCTGTAGATGACAACACCTGTACTGAATGGCAGGCTCATTGTCTTGGCTGCCGCTTGTAGTTGTGTGTGGTATGGTCAGCTCAGCTGCTGTAGTGGTCTTGCCAGTTGTCTCTCCAATATATATTTTCACTTTAGTAATAGAATGTTGATTTTGTTAAGGGTTGGCAGTATGTCCAGCTAAAAAGGTACACCTCTCAGACTCTTTCATAGCTAAGAGTAGTCATGCGACAACATTCTGATCACCGAATTGTAAGTAGAATGCTTCTAAGGGATTTTTGGAAAATTATTTGTTTTCTGAATACAAATGTTACGCCTTTCAATTTCTTTCTTTTCTTCTTGCCTGGATGTAGATGTGATAACTGAAGGTGCAGCAGCTATTTTGGAAACATGAAGCAATAAGCACGAGGATGGAGGCCTAAAATACAAGGCTCGTGCGGCAGAAAGAAGAGCAGAGCTGGAGCCCTGCTGTCAGTGTTGAGTCTCTGAGCTGTTGCTAAGACTGCCAAACCCCAGACTGCTGCTTGCATAAGACCAATACATATACATTCTTATCTGTTTAAGGCCCTGGAAGTCAGGTTTTCTGTTAGTTGTAGAAGAATACATTTCTAACTGATACAAATAGCTTCTATAACAATGCGCTAGTGAATGCATATAAATTTCTCCTTTCTGAAATGGGCACTAGATTTTATGTGAAAACAGAAGTTGTGTGAGCAGATAATGAAAACAATATACTGTCTAGTTCTCTGTAGAATTGGCCTTTCTAGCTACAGCTTTGTCTTAAATTATGGCATCTAGTCTCCTATGTCTTTTGTTTCTTAAAAATTTAAACTGAAGCAATCTATTGTGAAGAAGCAGATGGGCCATTTGTGTCTCTAGATCTGGCTGGGCTTAGTTCTGCTCTTACTTGGCCTGATTTCTTGTCCTGGCTTTTTTTCTTTCTTGGTCACACCCTCCAGTTCTTCCTGGCTGTATTTGTCATACAAATCAAACACTGCTCTCTCTGTCACTGTGATTTCAGAGCAGTTCTTGCTCCATCATTTTGGCCAAAAGTGACTAGACCTAAAGCTGTGAAAATGACCAGAGAGAGACCATCCGCAGTACTATTTGCTTGTTCTTGGCCCTTTAGAAAAAGGTTCTTGATCAATGCATCCCGAGGTAATTGTTTTTTCTCACCCCAACTCCCCTGGCTTCAGTCCTCAGTTTACTGGAGGAAGAAAAGGGGCAGGGTTTTAGGCAGTTGCAGCCTGGAGTTGGACGCTCCCCTGCCCATCCCTCAGTGTAGCTTGGAGAGAACAGTGGAAACAGCACACGCACATCCTTTAGCCATCAGCAAACAAGGACTCTATGTCTGCCAAGATATGATGGAGCCTTCAGGCTCCTCTTTGCTGTGTCCACATCTGTTAGAGATTTCCCACAGAAAAGAAACTTGGACATTTCTTCTCCCAAAGTGGTGATGGTCTTGTGGAGAGAGCATGGGTGAAATGGAGAAGTGAATGTGGTAGTCACGAACTGCTCTTGCACCTGGGAAATCATCTCCCTCTGAGTTCTTCCTTTTCCAGTAAACATATAACTACATCCTAAATCAAGAAGTGCCAGTAATGCATACCTGCAAATACCAAAAATGGTAAAAACGTTAACATGAAAGGGACCTCTCCAAAGCCCTGCTGCTGTCCTGTGTACTCTGGCAACGACTGGCTGCTACAGGAGAGATCACCGTCTAAACTCCTTGTTGTAAAAGAAATATTTTCCCCCCTAGTCTTCAGTTTCATTTTCCTCACCCCTTTGTCCTTGTGTTATTTATGGGACAAGGCCCAGGAGTGAGTTGCTGAGCTACTTTTCTGCATATGCTTCATAAGTTTTATGAACCTCCATTGAATTTGCTTTTTTGTCTCCCCAGTCTAGGCTGAATAACTCCTTTTTGGAATAGAACCCATCAGCCTGCTGAAGGCAGTGAATATGAAACCCCAGTCCTCCAGTCAGCCAGCCTAGAGCCTTCTCAGTCATTGATTTACTTCATTTCCTGACATGAGGGGGCACCTGAAATTGGGCACCCTGCTTCAGCTGAGGTGAGTGGAAGAGGGCATCTATTGTCTCCTCTGCTTCTCAGCTCATGAATTCTACTGCTCACTCCCTCTTCAGAAGTCAGGTGGCCTCTTCTCTGGGGAGCATCCCTCCCTTACACACTTTGCAAAGTGCTAAGCTAACTCGAAGCGCTCAAAAATCAGGAGCAAATCCATTTGCTAGACCCAGGCAAATGGACAGGCAGGTTGGGGCTCTTGTTTACGAATCAGGCAAAATATGGAGCTGAACCATCCAAGTGTGGTTGCCGTTTGTCACTGAGCACTCTTCTTATTTGATGGAAATGTTACATTGTTGGGGGGTATTAGAGAGAGGCAGGTCCCAGAGACCCTTGATAAAACCAAAAAAAGGGGCAGATACATCTTATTCTTTACTCTTTATTTGCTTGGAAAATAAGATGTTTGTTTTAAGATTTGGAATTTTCAGAGTCATGCAAGGATGCAGGGTCCGCTGGAGGTTAGTTGCAGCAGGCAGAACCGTGTGGCATTGGCCGTGCTGGAGATGACCTCATAACACCCTGCGTGGGAACTTGGCTGTGCTCATGGCTGCCCAGCCTCCCATTCTCTGCCTGTTTTCAAAGCCTAAATCTTCAGTCTTGCAAACAATTCAAAAAGTGTGCACATCATTTCAATATGCCCCCTTTGGTACAGCCTACAACCTTATCTGACACACCAAAGAAAAATTAAATTCCCTCCTCCCTCCCACCCCAGTCCTCTAGAGCAAAATCATGAGAAACTGGCCTGCTGTTCCATTTCAGTCATCATCTTACCTGAGATGGACACCGTTTCATTTCTCATGTGATAGGAATGTCACTAATCCTCCAGCCCCATCATGATCTGAATTAAATGCAGGTTTGTTTTCTTTAATGCATTTGAGGGAGGAGTTTGAAGGAGGTGACCAGTTACTGATGTTTTTACCACACAAGTAATACATGAACGCATTCTTCTCATGGAAGATTCCAACAAGGCAGGAATATTCAGGGGAAAACATGATAGAGTCCTCCACTGCAGGCCCCCATCACTCTTGCTTTACTCCAAGGGGCAAGCACTATGAACACTGTTTTGCATTTGTTTAGTCCATATATGTTTAAAACACATAAATAGGAATTCTATGAATTTTGCTTTGTGACTTGCTTTTTCAATGAACAATTTGGGATAACTTTCCATAAAGGTTCAATATATTCTTCTAATGACTGCATAATATTTTTATACTAAATTTTACTTAATCTCTTCCATTTGGGAGTTCCTAATTTTTCATTAGTAGAAAAAATATTCTCATGAACACCTTGAATATTTATGTTCATATGTCAATTTTTTTTCTGGAATACATTTTTCTAAAAATTTAGTTTTTTCTAGAATGCAATTACTGAATCAAATATAATACATGTTTACAGTTTTGATAGATGTCATCCAACAGCTTTCCAAAAAGTCTTCACCAATTTACAATCCCTCTAACAGAATGGCCTAGAGCTCAGTCCTGCAGCCCTTTCCATGACTTTATGGGCATCTAACATTTCCGCTTAAAATTGGCAAAGTGTTTTTGATTTCCTGCAGCAGAACTCTGCCCAAGATACTGTGCTATGATCTTATGATTCCTTTGCTTAACAACACTTCTGTGACTACCACACACAGATCAAACTAAAGCATTATATGCTTACCTTGAGCTCCATCTTTACTTAAGGATCCACTACAGCTGCTCTTGCCTCTGCCATCAAGAATGACTCAGCCTGCCTGCTGCGTATGGGGCTCACGCCTGTAATCCCAGCACTATGGGAGGTTGAGGCAGGTGGATCACTTGAGCCCAGGAGTTCAAGAGCAGCCTGGGCAACATGGCGAAACCCTGTCTCTACAAAAATACAAAAATTAGCCGGGTATGGTGGCACACGCCTATAATCCTAGCTCGTTAGGAGGCCGAGGTAGGAAGATTGCTCGAGCCTGGGAGGTCGAGGTTGCAGTGAGCTGTGATGGTGCTGCTGCACTCCAGCCTGGGTGATGGAGCGAGACCCGGTTTAAAAGAAAAAAGAATCCCTCAGCCTGTCTTTCAGGTTTTCCAGAATTTGGCTCCATTCCCTGTTAGTCAGTATGGTTCCCCTGGTTCCTCACATCTATTCCATGCTCCAAATGAATGTGTCTCCCACTGGTCTGCTGTATCTGCAATGTGGAACTATCTGGTACCCACCCAGATATACGTGTATCTTCAGGTCTCTGCCTCTTCCTGTCCTAGGCTCAAGTGCCGCTCTCAGCCCCAACCTTTTCCTTCTTTTTCTTTTTTCCTTTTTTTTTTTTTTTGAGATGGAGTCTTGCTCTGTTGCCCAGGCTGGAGTACAGTGGCGTGATCTCGGCTCACTCTAGCCTCTGCCTCCTGGGTTCAAGTGATTCTCCTGCCTCAGCCTCCCAAGTAGCTGGGATTACAGGTGTCTACCACCAGGCCTGGCTAATTTTGTGTATTTTTTAGTAGAGATGGGGCTTCGCCATGTTGGTCAGGCTGGTCTCCAATGCCTGACCTCAGGTGATCCAACCACCTTGGCCTCCCAAAGTGTTGGGATTACAGGTGTGAGCCACCGCACCGGCCACCCCCCAGCGTTTTCTTATCTGTGCACACCAAGCTCAGTACAGTCCCACTCCTTTGAAGGCCGCCCCGGGGATGCCAGCTCACATTTCTCTACTTTTGTGTGTGCTGTGCTCTGCTGCACACTGTCCCACTCGCTACTGGATCTTAGCACTTGCTTGTAAAGCTATTATTTGATAATTATTTAACATATGTGTACGTTTTGTCCCAATTTAGATTGTAAGGCCCTTATGTGAAAGGTACCATATCTTGTTTTCCCTTTGTAGTGTTAAATGTTTAAAACAAGAGAAAGGAAAGGATATTTATTGAATACCTGCCATGGATTAAGTGCTTTTTTAACCATGACCTTATTTAATATTCACAACAATCCTGGAAAGATATTTTCATATTTCAGAGATGTTAAACAACTTTCCCCTGAGAAATCCCCAAAACTGTTCAGAATTGATTCAGTCCAGTGCCATAGTGCTTCTTAAATGTGATGCCTGGCCAATTACCCTCCAGGCCTTTATATACCAGAGTGGCAGAAGTGGTGGACACTTACTATGGGTAATTAACTAATGAAAAGTGAAAGTATGCCTTATTTGCCTAGAAAGATATTTCAGGACTCCTAATATATTTACTCTATATGCTTTTATTTCCTTCAGATATTAAAAAAAAACTTTTAAGATCATTTTTGATTTACAGAGGAGTTATGAAAATAGTGCGGAGTTCCCATATACTCCTTACCAAGCTTCCTCTAGCATTAAAATCTTATATAACTACAGTATAATTATGAAAACTAAGAAATGAACACTGGTATAATACTATTAACTAAACTATAGGCTATATTAGAATTTTCTGAGTTTTTTTTTAACTGTCTATTTCTATTTCAACATCCAATGCATCATACTCAATCACTCTCACTACTTCTATTTAACACAGTACTGGAAGTCCTAGAGCAATTAGGCAAGCTAGAACAACTAGGTAAGAAAAAGAAATGAAAGGCATTCAAATTGGAAAGGAAGAAGTAAAATTATCTCTGTTCACAGACGACATAAACTTACAGGTAGAAAATTCTAAAGATTGTACAAATAAACTGTTAAGTCATAAATGAATTCTGCAAACTTGCAGGTTACAAAATAACCACACCAAGAAAACAGCTGCATTTTTACAAACTAGCAATGAATGATCTGAAAGGGCCATTTACATTAGCATCAAGGAGAATAAAATAGTAGGAATACACTTAACCAAGAAGGTAAAAGATTTGAACATTAAAAACTACAATACATTGCTGAAAGAAATCAAAGAAGATGTAAATAAATGGAAAGATATCCCATGTTAATGAATTGGAAGACTTAATATTGTTAAGATGCCCATACTACCCAAAGTGATCTGTGGATTCAAAACAATCCCTATCAAAATCCCAATGGCACTTTCTTCACAGAAATAGAACAATTCCAAAATTTATATAGAACCACAAAAGACTATGAGTAGCCAAGTCAATCTTGAGAAAGAACAATAAAGCTGGAGGTATCCGCTCTGAAATATTTCCTGATATTTTAAAATCAGGAAATACTCCTTATGCCTCGCACAAAATTTTGAAATCATGAAATAATTCTTACACCCTGCACAAAAATTAACTCAGAATGGATCGAAGACTTAAACATAGGAGCTAAAACTATAAAACTCTTAAAAGAAAATACAGGAGAAAAGCTTAGTGTCTGGATTTAGCAATGATTTCTTGGATATTATGCCAAAAATAGATAAATTAGACTTCATCAAAATTAATTTTTTGTGCATCAAAAGATAATATTGAGAAGGTAAAGGCAACCCACAAAATGGGAGAAAACTTTTGCAAATCATATACTGGTAAGAGATTAATATCCAGGATGTTTAAAGAACTCCAAAAACTTAGTAAAAACCACCACAACAAAGCAATTCAATTAAACATGAGCAAATGGCTTGGTATTGATATTTCTTCAAGGGAGATGTACAAATGGCCAAGAAGCACATGAAAAAATACTCAACATCAGAAATCATTAGGGAAATGCAAATTGAAACCCCAATGAGGTACCACATCACACCTCTTAGGATGGCTATTATCCTCAAAACAGAAAACAAGTGTTGGTGAGGATATGGGGAAATTAGAACCCTTGTGTATTGCCCTAGGGAATGTAAAATGGTGCAGTCACTGTGGAAGACAATATGGCAGTCCCTAAAAAAAGTGCAATGTAAAACTACCATATGACCCAGCAATTCCACTTTTATGTATATACCCCAAAGAATCAAAAGCAGAGACTTGGCCAGACATTTGTACTGTAAAGTCCATAGTAACATTATTCACAATAGCCAAAAGGTGGTGGAAGAAGCTCAAATGCCTATTAATGGATGAATGGATAAACAAATGTGGCATATGCATACAATGGAATATTATACAACCTTAAGGAATGAAGTTTTTATGCATGCTGCAACATGCATGAACCTTGAAAACATGCAAAGTGAAATAAGCCAGACACAAAAGGACAAATGTTATGTGATCCCACTTATATGAAGTATCTAGAATAGTCAAGTTCATAGAGAAAGAAAGTAGACTGGTGGTTAGTAGGAGCTGGATGGAGGGGACAATGGGGAGTTATTGTTCAAAGGGCATGAGCATTTCAGTTCGGAAGGATAGAAAAATTCTGGAGGTAGATGGTGACAGTTGCATAACAATGTGAATGTACTTAATATCACTGAATTGTGCACCTAAAAAGGATTAAGATGGTAAGTTTTATGTTATGTATATTTTACCAGAAAAAAATAAAATAACCATAATTTCACACTGCTACCTCTGGCTCCAATCCAACTCCACAAGGTTGATTCTAGCCATCTTCCTTTCTTTGTTGATAATTTCTTCCTCTAACAGAAAGAAACTTGGTTCTCACTATCTAGAATATATTTACTTATAATGTTCAGCACTAGCACACATACAAAGTAGTTTCAGAATTGCTAACCTGGCACCCCTGTGAGAAACAAATTTACCAACTTGAGTGCAGTATTTATGTACATTCTTTTTGTCTTTAGCTTTATAGTGTCCAGTCAAGTTACTGTTTTCCAGAGTGACTTAGCTCAGATCCTTTCTTCCTCACCTTCTTCAATGTAGTTATGTCATTCATTTGTAATTCAGTTAAGTTCATTTGTCACAGTGCCTACTCGACAGCCAATGAGATCATGCATTTGGAGTGCCTAATGCACTACCTGGCATGGAGCAGGTCCTTAAGAAATATGAGCTGAACCTGAATTTGTGGCACTGATTAGTGCTGTCCATCAGCCTCATTACTTTGGCTCCATGAAATGTCAAAAGAGCTTTAACCAGGTTTCAAGTGTCTGTGACTCAGAACTAAGGTAACTGGCCCACAAGGGTCAAGTCAGAAGTGCTGCCCTCATTAGCATCATGTTCTAGACAGCTGAGTCATTTATCATAGGACAACAAATCTGGGGGTTTAAATGGTGAATAACAGTGAAAGATGTGAATCATGCAAG